ACAGAGCCATAGTAACAAAGACCACATAGAATGGACACCAAAACAGATGTGTAGATCAGTACAATAGGATAAATGACCAAGAGTTAAACCAAGACAACCATGTAGGTTATACACAGCTACATAACTTGATTGTTTTTGAACAAAAACATACATTGTACAAATTATACTGACTTCAACAAATGGTGCTGGGGAGCTGGGAATCCATGTGTTGAAGAATGAAACTAGATCCCCGTCTCTCATTAAATACTAAAATGAATTCCAAGTGGACCACAGATCTTACTATAAGGCCTAAACCTGTAACTGCTAGGGGAAATCTAGGGAAAACTGCCAAGATCCAAAGGCCTATGTGGTGACATCTGCCTCTGATCCCAGATCTCATGAGGCTAAGGTAGCAGAATCAAGTGTTCAAAGGTAGTCTTGGATACTTATTGAGTTCAAGGCCAACCAGTCAGCCAGTCAGCAAGTCAGCCAGTCAGCCAGCTAGCCAGCCAACCAACCAACCAACCAACCAACCAACCAACCAACCAACCAATCAATCAGTCAAAAACAAAGGGAACAACACTTCAAGATGTAGACCTGGGGAAGGACTCTCTGAAAAAAATGGCCCTGGAAGTTAAACTAAAAATTGACAAATGTGACTACATGAAATTTAAAAATGTCTACAACAAAGGAAACAATTAAATGATGAGAATACCTACCGAATGGAAGAACACTTTTCTAAAATAACTCTGCCAGGGAATTAATAGAACATATAACTAAAAAATGAAATACTAAAGCAATAACAATGGCAATATCCAAAACCTGCAAACAATCTAATTAATAGATGGGTCAATGAAATGAACAGATAGTTCTTAAAAGATGAAGCACAAATGTGAAATAAACATATAAAAGTGTTCAAAAGTCTTAGATCCATCATAGGCATGTACATCAGCCCCACTGAGACTTCATTTTTAACACAGTCATAGTAGCCATAATTAAGAGAACAAATAGCAACAAATGCTGGAAAAGATGTGGGGAAAAGGAACCTTTATATACTGCTGATGAAGGATGTAAAATAGCAACTTTGGAGACTGCTCAATAAGCAAAAAACAGAATAATTATATGACCCACTTGGCCCAGCTCAATCAGTCTTGGGTACAGATCTGAAGGAATCTAGGTCAATGTACCATGAGGCCCTTGCACATCCATGTTTATTGCTGCACTGTTCACAATAGTCAAGTTAAGGAAGTGGTCTAGGTGTCCATGAATGGAAAAATGATAAAGAGAATATACACACATAAACATATACAATATAAAGTAGAGTTGTACTCAATCATAAAGAAGGGAATCTTGTTATTTGTTGATGAAAATGGAGATTCTCATCTTGAGTGAAAAAAGCCAGATACAGAAAGTCAAATATCACAAACGTTTCCCCTCACTTGTGGTTCCTAGGTTCTAATTAGATATACAAAATCATTTTTATACATAATGTATCACCATAAATGTATATGCTATGCCATAAATAATGGCATGAAAGTAAAAGTGTGGCTTGCTGGAGGAAGGGAGGAGTCTTGTAGGAGATGGAGAAACAGGGGGGCATTTGAGGTGAATATTGTCGAAGGACATAATGAACTTCAACAAAAATATTTATTAAACCCATAACTATATGTAATAAGTTTACATCTATAAGGAAGAATAAGAAATAAACCCCCACAGATTAATGACAGTTGTAGAGCACCATTGAAGTGCTATACACACAACAACTTACGTTGAATACCACAGCAGAGTCCAGAGTCAAGATTTTCATATAGATAATTTTATCTCATTTGAGATAGGCAATGTTTCATTTCCCAATGAATAAAATGACTGTCAGAAATCTTTAATTACCCTAAAGTTCAAGATCACACAGCTAACAAAATCCAGAGTTGCAGAGCTGGAGAGATGGTTCAGTTGGTAAACACATACCTGTACATGATGTAAAACACACACACACACACACACACACACACACACACACACACACACACACACGAGAGAGAGAGAGAGAGAGAGAGAGAGAGAGAGAGAGAGAACTCAGAGTCATGCTTAAAAATGGAAACTTGTTGCTCTGAAGCAATGTCGCCTTCCATTACTCTTCAAGGAAGAACCTAGAAAACCATGCACTGTTAGTTAGAGAGAGAAAGTGTGAAGGGAGTTGAGACTGAAGTTTTACCGATTAAATACAGGAAGAGCAATAGTTCTGTCTGTAGTAAAGATACCCCGTTTGTGACAGCTCCCTCGAGGGACAGGTTCCCTTGAAAAAATGTAAAGCATTGCCATTGTTTAGTTTGCATTTCTGGAGGGAAACTGAAGAGCATTTTAGTGATGAGAGGTTCAGGGATGATTGCAGCAGTTGCAGGAGCCTGTTCTATCACCTTTGTGGAAGACAGCACCGAAGTCTTCTGCTTTCAAACATCTGTTTTCATGCTTGCACCTGTCAGTGAGCTTGTTGGGCTAATTTAGGGCTGGCAGCCCAGCTCCAGGTCATAGGTTAGGCACTCTAGGTACCTTTCATGTCCCTCTAGTGGTCTGCTTGGGGCATGAGTTCATCATAGTAATGACAGAAGAGCATAAAAGTGTGCCCAGGAAAGCAGCCCATTGTTTTTGCTTATGCCATATTTGTTGATATCTGATTGCCCAAGAAAAGTCACATGGCTGAATTAATGATCTTTCAGTAGGAGTTTTGGTCACTGAGGGACTGGCATAAGTTCAAGAGGAGGTGACATGTTTAGACAATAATATAATCAACCATAGGGACTAGAAAAATAATTTACAAGTAGAGGAAAAAATAGCAGAACCCTCTTGGGAACTAAAGTCATGAAACTGAGAAAGTTCCATCTTGCTTGGGACGTTACCTCTGGGAAGCTCAGCATATACCCTGTGGGTAACCCAGGACCCCTCCTAGATGAGGCTCTGACATCAGAGGTGGACAGAACTATGGTCTTCAGTAAGTCACATGCTATGTCGAGGCCCTGCTTTCTTCAAACCTTGCTTTGTGCTGCAATCATAAAAGCAAGGATCATTCCTGATCTTTTCTTTGTTGATCTTCTGGTACTTAATTCAGTGTTTGGTTAGCTAGGTTAGTCAGAGTTGGTGAGGTTCGGATTCAGTGGGAGATCCTGCCTTAGTCAATCAAGTGCAGAGTTGTAACATGAATTCTAATAGGTCTTCATAATAAAATCCTGGAGTCAGACATTGGGGAAAATTCTGAGACATCAGAGAAATGAAGGAGCAAAACCACAGCCACCTTACCAACTCAACTTCCCAGATGAAAAGGAGACTGAACTCCTGTCTCCTCCCACCTTATCACTTGCTGTCTGTCCAGACCTCCAGACTTCTAAGGTGGCTAGCTCTGCCCTCTGTACAAACGAAATATCACCACAGAGAGTGATCAAGGAAGTCATTTGATGTCAACTTTGGGTCTCTACGTTCATACACACAGACACACAGACACAGACACAGGCAGACAGACACACATACACGTGCCTGCCCCCACACATGTACATTCGTACAAATGTGAGCATGCATGCATACATGCATGTACCCATCCCATACACACAAAATGGGGAGAGAGAGAGAGAGAGAGAGAGAGAGAGAGAGAGAGAGAGAGAGAGAGAGAGAGAGAGAGAGAGAGAATGAAAACTCTGGAAAACTGGATTTAAGCAGGTTGAAGCTGAACCCAGGATCTAGATTAAGCGGGATTCAGATTAAACAAATAGGGGTTTACTGGATCATGTACCTCTACTCTCAGGCCAGAGACCACACAATTTGCTGATTTTTTTTTATCAGAATTAACCCTGGAGAAACCGGGGGAGGGGGGTTTGGAGGAGCTGTGGCCTCAGAATGATACATTGAAGAGTTAAAGCAAGAAAAAGGACAGCATACACTCTTCCAGACTGAAGAAAGAAACATCCAGGGACATCTTTCTACAAACCAGCAGCTGCCTCCAGCTGGCTGCCCTATAGACAGTGAACTTGCAAGGCTCAGTGTGGGGGCAGACACACCCACTTGCAGGTCTGCGGGAGGCTCAGGAAGCCATGGTTTGTAATTACCTCCCAACTGAGTCTTTGTGCAGTTACATGGCTGGCACAGCTGAAGCTGCTCCAGCATTTCCTGGATTAATTTTAAATTGCCTCAAGTTATATTATTTTATGGATGTAAAGACACAATGTCAGTTAAATCAATATATAGGCTCTGAGGGTTTTTTTTTTCTTTTTGGTATACAGTACTGGCAATCATACTCTCATTTGACTTTTAACTACCATTGGCAGTGATGTAACCTCACTACAGTTTTGGAGAGAAAACAGATGGTAATTAGGAAAACTTCAAGTGTGCATGACCTTCTGTATCAGTAGGAACCCTTCCATGAGGGCTTCACGGGCTAACTTGAAGGCATGCCCACATTTCAAGAGCAAAGGGAAGAATCCTAACATGTTTAAGCAAAAGGGTTGGGTGTTGGGGTCGGTGATCTATTCAGGAGTTCCAGTTTGGTTGACTAGACCTTTACCTGGGCTAAGCTGGTGGCTTAGACACGAGTATTGGTAATAGCAAGGGAAAGCCGGGGCTTTTGAGAGAGTTTAGGAAACACACTTAGTAAATTACGGAACCTGGGGAGCCATCGAGTGGGAAAGGCACGTGCAAGAAAAAACAGTTTTTTTATCAGAATGGTGATTCTGTATGCTCTGGTTGGGTTGTCCTGGAACTATACAGCCATTAGTGAGGATTATATCAGGTGGGGCAGTCACTCCAGTTATTCAGATATATAGGTCAATATCCACAGCATGCTGTGACACATGAGGAGGGTCCACCCTTCCATGTGCATAGGGCAGGTAGAAGGCATTGCTAAAATATTGTTCAAACTTGTTCAAGTCACTATTGGTGTCAGAGTGAAGCCTGTTAAGTTGCTGTTGGCATTATTAACTTCTGAGTGTTTGATTGAAAGTCATCTCTCTGATGTCTGTTCTTTTGTAATAAGTAGATACTGAAGATTGGGCAGTTTGACTAATGGACATCTAGTGGATTATCTCCTGCTTCTTGAGCTCTGTGGAGCAAGAGGATCATCAGAGAGTGGACTTGAAACCCCACAGATGGCTGAACATCTAAGGGTCAGTTCTTGGGACCTAAGAGAGGCTGTGTGAATACAAACTGTATATGTCTACCCCAGCTAAGAAGCTAATGTCCAAAGAGGCGCTGGTGAAAAGAACAGTCTCTTTGGAAGAAATCCCTGTGCCAGACAAACCCATGGTAAGAATTGCCATTGTCTCTGGCCCAATAATCCAGTACAGTGCAGGAAGGACTGCAGAGATGAGAGCTTCAGCCCATCTTCAGACTGGCAGAGGAAAAAAGGGGCATGGCTATAGATCTCTGGTGCGTGAAATGTTCAAAAAGGGCCATAAAGCTTGAGCAGTCAGAAATGAAAGCCTGAAAGACTTCTGCGGTTTATTTCCTGTCCTGTTTTTCTGAAGTCCCATCCCTCTCTACAAGGAGCCACAACCACAGAGACATCCATATCCATCCGTAAGACTGATGCTTGTCAGGGATGCCTGCAGTCAGCCCAAATGTGAGATGGCCTAATCCTCTAATTATAGATGACTCCAGTAGCAACGGGTGCTCTGAGCCCCCAGCCAGGATCACAAGAGACACAATCCTGGCTCCTTCAGGTAAATCCTGTGATTACCCAGCACAGGAAAAGGGCGGGATCTGAAGGGTTCTTTATTGAAGCCCACATGGGCACTGACTTTCTGAAACCTGCCTTCCCAGGCCCCGCATGGGGCCCATCAGCTTAGTCTTCCTTTGCCATGCGACCTGGAACTTGCTGCTCAGCCTCTCAACCCATCGGCAGTGTGAGCCGCGATTAATTAGCTCTGAGTGTTTAATGCAGTGTGACACACTGTGGCTGGGACTTTGAATCTAATTCTACCACTTACCAGGTATGTCCATTTTTGAAAAAAAATCACTTTTTGTGCCTCAGTTTCCCTTATCTGATGATGATACCAGTGCCTGGTTCATATTACTGTGTGAATTTTGAAGAGGTTACCTGTGGGCTCAGAGAATGGTGCCTGCAAAGAGACTTACTAGGTAAATGCTAATCATTATTATTGCTCCATTAAGCTAGGGGTCCTCAGAGTAGATCGATATTCCAACCACTCAAATATTGTCAGTGTTTAGGCATTCAGTGATGATCCTCCCAGGTTTTGGAAATGAGAAAAATAAGGTTGCCTTTGAGAACGAAACAACAAAAAGTACACTATAGTACATTACAGATCATAACAGAGTGACTTCAGAGTGATGAAATGGTTCCCAGATGATAGGCTCCCAGGCTCAGAATATGCCACTCATTACTCATTAATTAATTAATCAATCAATTAATTCACTCATGAGTTGTGATTGCCTACCATTTCTCAGGCAACAGACTGACTGTTAGATAGATATAAATGGGACCTATTTCTTACTAGAGATACCCGACTAGATAGGGGAAGGAACAATAAATAAGAACAAACAAATAGGAACATATGAGAAACTGCATTATGTGTAAAAAAGAAGAGAGAGTGCTGTCTTGGAGGTTGGCCTTGCAGCATTCCATCACACGACTATACTCTGAGCTACTTGAGAATTCTCTTGGTGGACATTAAGGTTACTTCAAGTTTCTGATGATCATGAGCAGTTATTGTTTGTATATTTTGGCGTACAGAGTTTTGACAAAAATTGAGGTCAAGGCTATTGGAACTGTACATCTTGGATATATGCAATAAGGAAGTGTCTCATGTATAAAGAATTTGAAACAGCAACAAAATCAAAGAAAATGGCAGTGATTCCAAGAAATCCTCTGCCCTCAGCCCAAATTTTTGTTGGTTAAGTTTTAACACAATGGCATTTTGGTGGTATTTTCATAATATTGGTGTCTGCTTTAAATTGGCACTTCAAAGCAATGCATTCTCTAAAACAGTATTTTAACTTGAGGATCTCATACATGAGTATGCCATATTTGCATTCTTTCCACCACTCCCCACTCCTTCATCAAATTTATAACCTCTTCTATATCTTGTTTTGTTATACACACACACACACACACACACACACACATACACTCTCTTCTTAGTCTAATAAGTATTGCCCTATTTGCATGTATTTAGGGCTCATCCCTTAGAATTTGGGTCAAAAAAAAAGAAAATAAAGCCCTCAACATTGATTTTTTTCCCCCTTCAGCATCCATTGATTGCCTACAGATTTTTATCTAGGGTGGGGTCTTTTGAAAATTTCCTGAGTCCAGTTTGGCTTGTCAGTTGGTATGGTCTTTGCAGGCTTTGTGAAGGCAGCCATATTGCTGAGATTTCATGATAGTAACATCCACATCCTGTTCAAAAGAAACTATCATGCAGTAGCTGTCCTGGTCCTCTGGCCCTTACAATCTTTCTGCCCTGTTTTCTGAGATGTTACTTGACCAATGGGTGTAGGAGTTGTATAGCAGATAACCCATTTGGAGGTGGGCACTTAGTCTCTAAATTTTGACTGGTTACAGAGCTCTCCATCTTCTTCAAAAAGAACCTTCTTTATTGAGGGCTGAGAGCAGTACCTATATATAAGGGTGGCTATTTAAAAACCAGTTGGAAATTACATTACTTTGATAATACTGTTTTCTCTAAGGCCTATGATCTCTCCAGTCACAGGTTCTTAGCTAGATTTATAACACCAGGCACAAGTTCCCAGCAACTAAGCAGGTTTAAGCTCCAGTTAGACAGCTGTTGGCTGCCCCTAAATAACAGGTGCCACTAGGGCACCATTGGGACCTCTTGCTGGTTCTCAGGCTTTACAGATGTAAAGGACTTGCCTTAGTTTGGGTTTTTGTTGCTGTGAGGAGACACCAAGACCATGGCAAGTCTTGTAAAGAAAACATTTAATTGGAGTGTCTTGCTTTTGGTTTCAGGGGTTCAGTCCATTATGATCATGGAGGGGAGCACGGCAGTGTGCAGGCAGATGTGGTGCTGGAGCTGAGGGTCCTACATCTTGAGGGCAACAGGAAATTGATAGAGACACTGGGCAGTGTCCTGTTCATAGGAAACCTCAAAGCCCACTCCCACAGTGACACACTTCCTCCAACAAGACCATACCCACTCTAATAAGGCCAGACCTCCTAATAGCACCAATCTCATTGGAGGCCATTTTCGTTCAAGCCACCACAGAACTGCTGGTAATTTTTCTCCATTGGCAGTTTTCATAGCACCTTCCCAAACTGTGAGTGTTAGACCTCAGAAAAGGTCAGATGCAGCTTGCCTTCCCCAAGTCCTGTGATTGAAGCTGGTGGTGTCTTCAGTAATAGGGTCTTACCTTCAGGTTCTGGCAGACAACCAAGAGCAATGGAAAGATAATATATTGTTTTGGGTGTTTCTTGGACCCCTCCTGACCAACATCTTGAAGGGAGTTAATTGCTGTCTGGCATTGAGGTTTTGTTAGATAGTCTGTAGCTCCTGGAGGGAGCATCATCCTACATATAGAATAACTACATTAAAAACTTCACTGCCTTTCCATTTTGGTAATTATTAAGTGTCTGATTATTAGTAATTATTAAAATACTTTATTGCATAGAAGATGGTAGTGTTAAAATGTCCACCTTGGAGGTCACATATGCCAAGCGTGCCACTCTGTCCATTTCACCTATATTTTCAAGCGCACGGATACTCAGTCATTCATCATTTTATCTGTTTGCTGTCTTCAGGATGTAAAGGGCTTCTCTTCTCAGTCCTGCACGGAGCTGCCCATGCTGTTTCATATCGCCCCAGAGTCAACTTTGAGTTTGCTTCTGGTCTGTGTGTCTGTCCTCCTCTCTCTCACTGGTTCTCTCTCCCCTCTCTCTTCCCCTTTCCTTTTCCCAGCACTTCTGCGGGGTTCTGAGCCGATTTATCTATTCCTTACGAATTGGTCCATTTTAAGGTTGAGGCTTCAGCATGTTGTGTTTTCATTGTTTGGATTTAAATTTTTGTAATTTCCATTGTATTTCTCTGTGCTGTGTAGCTAGCAACATCTCTATCTTAACTTCTAGATGTTTGAGAGTCCAACCACTGCCTCTTAGCATAGTTAATTGATTGGTTGTACACCATACAGGACCACAGTATGACCTCAGTCAGAAGTTTATTTGATATCGCTTTGCTTTACAAATAGCATCATTTTTTCCCCAAATGTATTTGCAGAAATGCACATGTACTGTGGTTGTCAGACAGTGTTCTCTAGAAGTCTATTTGGCTAATAGTATTTTTCAAATCCTTTACCTCCTTACTGATTTTTGTCAGTGGATCCTGTCAATCCTTGAGCAAGATGATGAAGTTGCTGTAGGTTGTGGTTTTGTTTTTCATGTACTATCTCAGTCTTTGTGTCATATGTTAAGCCAGGTTATTAAATATACATACATTTAAAATTAATTTTCTCATAAATTGAATACTTTGGTTTTATGAAGACTTAGTTTTTACTTGTAGGGATAATTTTTGACTCAAATTGTATTTTGTCTTATTTTTCATAGCTATATAAATCTTTATTTTTAAATGACTCTGTAACAACTATTTAATCCCATAAAAACTATAAATATGACCATTATTAATATTTATATATGATTCATTAAGCATAGCTGGCAAAGAACCCCAGAATTTGTATACATGTGTATAAAAATTTCAAGAAAATGATCCTTACCATTTTTTTTTGTTTTTTTGAGACAGGGTTTCTCTGCATTGTTTTGGAGCCTGTCCTGGAACTGGCTCGGTAGACCAGGCTTGGTCTCGAACTCACAGAAATCCACCTGTCTCTGCCTCCCGAGTGCTGGGATTAAAGGCGTGCCCCACCACCGCCCGGCAGATCCTTACCATTTTTGAAAAGCATATTATGCTAAAGTCTGAAAGCCAAACACAGAAGTTGAATGGGAAGAGAAAAATGTTGACAACAGAGGTATTTAAGTTTACTTCCTAACTTTCAGCACTGTTTTCAGTATAGTGTATGAAACCCCCAAATCTGATCACTCTCCATGGTCTGAAACAAAGTCGGGAGGGAGGGTAATGTTGAACTACAAATTCTATATTGTTGAGAAATGTAGCTGGCTTTCTTGGACTGCTAGCCTCCAGATCATGACATGGAGATTTTGTTATTAATTGTGAATGCTCAGCCTTAGCTTAGGCTTGTTTCTAGCTAGCTTTTGTAACTTAAATTATTCCAGTTCTATTCATCTATGTGCTGCCCTGAGGCTCGTTTACCACATCTACATACTGTCCATCCTGCTTTCCTGCTTCCTCTGTTAGACAAATGCAGCATAAACAAATGCAACACATCTTTACATAGTTAAACAATTATTCTGCAACTCAAACAAATGTAGCACATCTTTATATAGCTAAACAAATATTCTATTCCTCAAGAGAGAAATAAGAAATTCAGTTCTTTTCTTATTGAAATCAGGTTTGGTCCTGGCATCTTTCTCCATTTCACCCTAATAACAATCTTAGTTTCCAGTGGAATGAGCTAAAGGACATCTATATTTTTGATGTCACACTCATTGAGTTCCTGAGGCCTCTGAGATGGAGTCTGGTCTTTACTCTTGGCCATTCTTTTGAATATTTGTTGTCACCATGTCAGATTCAGAACCAAACACGGAATGGAAGGCCTTTTCATTCATTCCTTTTGCTGGGAAACATGCTGTATCTGATTTGAATCTGCTTGGCCTGCAGTTACCTACATGGGACAAGGAAACTGCACGTCTGCACCACTGTTTGGTGTCATTTACCCTGAGTTTCTTCATACAGGAGATTCTGCCTACTCAGCCGTCACATCCTTGGAATCTTTCTGGAAAACGGTCTGCTATTCTGACTTTCCTTCTGGTTCAGTCTCTTGGGACATGTGTAGAAACAAGGAAGGGACCCAACCCTGCTTTGTTGTGCCTCCTCAGCCCCCTGTTTAC